AGCAGAGGGGACCGGCGGTGGGGGGCTCGCAGTCTGGCAAGTCTGGATGGACAAGGTACATTCAAAACCGTGTCATGAAAGGGGAGCAACCTTCCTGTTCTGCGCAAAGGTTATCTGGAATGATACTCATAGAGGAGCCTAATGTTTTGTCGTTTCATCATCAGTACACCCTGAGGTCGACTTTTATGGACCATGACAAGCACTTTGGTGGCCCATCAGCAGTCTCTTAATTATCCTGTAAAACCATTGTGAAGCTTGCATAAGGAGTGATTATATACTTGAATTGTGTAACATTAAATCCCCCCAAGTCATTTGAAGACACTTTTCAAGGGGAGTAGTTTAGGAACATTAAACACCTTACGGCCAACTCTAGGCAAACAACTGTTCACTTTCATATTCAAACCTATGGATAGCTTTGAGTCTATAATGAAGCTAACATGGCTGCTAATGGAGGAAGCTGGAATAGAAAAAAAGGTGAAATGACAATTTATTCTTATTATTTGTTTTAGATAAAGCCTTTCAGTAAACACACTACACAAACATAACTTCAAATTCCAGCCATTAACTAAATTCTCCAAAGCTCCACAATGGAGCGCTAGCTAGCATGTCGGTCAATACTGAGCATGACGGAAATAGCACAGTTGAATCATAAATCCTGGTTTATGCATGCATATAATAATTAATTTATACAATGTAAGACTTTTTACACTATAGCCTGTGATTCAATGCAGCCCTCCTGTGAACACTTCCATTTGCTGTCCCCTGTTGAGTGCTCATTTCCGTTGTGTGACTTTTGTGTTTCCAGCCGTGTTTGGTTCATATCAGCATCATGAGCTGGTCCCCGCCAACTCGTCCTACTTCAAGGGCTCCTCCATGGGCACGCTGTCCTCCTCCTCCGTCTTGGTCGGCGTGGACAACCAAACAGATGAAAGGTATGCCACCGTCAGGACGTCCCGATTTTGCTTTGGGCCGATGATGTCACGTCAACCATCCATTTTCTATAACGCGCTTGTAATAAATAAATTAATAAATAAATCCTCCCAGCCACAAAAACTATGCTAGTTTTCTGTTTTGCAGATATTGATAGTACTGACATACTGGGAGCTGCACACACCTCTCACTACACTAGTCACTCGTGACTGCATAAACAAGTTGCCACGTAGCGGTGGATGAGTCCAAACGTAATAATCATCATTCACCGCTAGTTGACTGGCATAGCTTCATTGCATTTGCTCCTGGTCTTATTCTGCTCTATATTACCACGCCTAATAATTATTTTGTGAATTTGGAATGACATGCAGGACATCCTGAATAATAACATTTTAAGTGAGTTGTTTTTTTGTGGGAAAAAAAATGCACAAAATGAGTCGTGAGAGTTTTGTGTAGTCTTTTAATGCGAATTTTTATGCATGGGAGCCCTTTGCCCTTGGAAAAAACAAAACCACATTTTTTTTTTTTAAATGGTTCAAATCCCTTGCTGTTGAAGGCTGTATCGTTTATACATGCACTGAGCATAAAATGTATGACGCTAGCACAGCGTCTTCTAAATAGTAGATAAGTGCTTCTTATTGTCATGGTGAGCAAAGATTAGAACACCAGCCAGGACACCTCTCATTTTTATTTGAAGAGAGGATATTGTATTGGCTGCTTCGGCTTGTCTCTGTCCCTCCACCAATGCATGTTTACCACATTTGCAAAGTGGCTAGTCAAACCCTTGCGAGCAAAAAACAACACACTTCCTCCTCTCTGTTGCTTTAATTCTCTCATGGCTGACTGCCCCGCGTGAATGTAGTTTAGTATTTTAAAACATAACACAACCAGGCCCTGGCCTTGAGGACCAGAAGGAGGTCATGTTCATGTGTGTGCAGGGGGTGCTGGTGTTTTAATAGGCGCGGTCGCACATACACATGTCACGCTCTCACGCTCTCACGCTATCGTCGCTTTTGCCTTTACGTTACACACGTCCAGTTGGCAATAAATGCGTCACAGAAGAGATGACTCAGTGCCTCCAGAATACATGAGCACTGCATAGCACTCTGTTCTATGTTTCGTCTCTGCAAGCGTCCGTGAAGGTGTCGCGGCTCTTTTACAGGGCTTGGATTACCTCACTGGGTTTTAGTGTACATCATGAAATATTCATGCACGTGTTACATCAGAGGCTACAAACTTCCTTGTGATGGGTTCACCTCTTGTCTTCGCGAGGCTACAATGCACGTTGATCCAGCAAGCCTCTTTTTGAAAAGAAGTAGAAGCTTTCTGGGAGCCATGCATGGAAAAAGGATGTAACATATTTAAGTGTAACACTTGCATATGTGAAGATTGTTACTCTTGGTAGGATGACTTTTGGAGACAAAACCATCAGTAGAGCAAAATACAATATTGGAGTGTTCAGGCTGAGCTCGTGCAAGCAAAACAACTCCTCTGCTTCCCCCTAGTGGATGAAAGTAGAGGCAACGAAGTGGAGCACAGACCTCCAAAGCATTGGACTACAAATTGTATACCTTCATATGTAGCAGTTGTCATTAATAGAAATGAAGGGGAGCAAATATGACACAAGTAGAAATGTATGTGCACCCATGGAGGGTGCACAATTTAATCCAGGTCTGCATCACATTTTAAGTGGAAATCCGGCATATTGATGAACAAACAGCCAGTAAAACCCCAAGTTCCTTCAAAAGAAAGTCTTACAAAGTTATTAAATTTTATTTTCATCACTGCTCCAAATAATTTCACTTATCTGGTCCAAATAGTATTTGAACCAGTTAAATGTAAGTGAAAAAAAAAATAAGAGGCACAATGGTCAGGAACACTACCTCAAAATAATATAGCTCTTTTTCTTAGTTGCCCGACTAATAGTTTATCGAATTATTTTTTCTGCCAAATGTTGGAATCAACGTCCACCTAAAAAAAAACAGATCAGTTGGCCCCTAATTAATATTATTTGTAAATGTGTGAACTCTTGAGGTTGAACTTTTACTTCCACAGCAGACAGGCTGACCGTGGTGCTCTCAGTCTCGTTGATCACACGCTCATAAAAAAAAGTGTTGACACAGCCGCCGACATGGCATGCGTGCTATGCACTTCTCGATATGAAAGGCGACCATTTCTTGGGTTTTAGAGAAGACGCTGGGTCCAGCTCCACATTCACACTGGAGGACAGCGCCATCTGCCTGACGTCCGAGCATAGCACCATGGACGTGGACCTGGACCGCGATGACGGATCGGTTCTCGACGTCTACTTGGTCAGTTGGGACACACAAAAGTGATGCGACGTGGCCGTATACGCTAACATTGTCCGAGAGCTAAACAAAACCCCTTTTTGTTGGGTAGGATAGCCGATACAAAATGGCCGATTCCTTCATTTACATTTCTCTACGTAAGAGCAAAGACGCTTTCGATTTGCGTTTGACTTTAAATTCTATTTTTGACGTTAAGTTAAACAAGTACAGATTATAAAAACAACACACACATATATATATATATATATATATATATATATATATACACACACATACGTTGTTGATACAGTAATACAATAGACGTTAATGCTTTTGTAAAATTATTTTTATATTTATTTTTTACATTACCTAAATTAACCAATCATTAAATGAAATAAAATGGTTAATTGTCATAATAAACTAGTAATTTTATTATTCAGGATTTATTTCAAACATTTTTGAATCTTACTATTTACATTCAACCAATCCATGAAGTCCATCATTGGTTCCAATATTCACAATTTTTTTCTTCTCATGTGTTGCAGTGAACTGAAGCTCTTCGAACCCTCCACAAGCTTAATTCTCAGCCCGTTTTGTTATGCTGCTCCTGCAGTCATGTTGCCACTTTTATTGCCAACGCGAGAGGTTGACAGTGAAGAGACGTCACCTGAATGGACATCTTGTGACGTCACACCGTGTGATGAAGACACTTTTTAAGACGTTGCGTTTCATGTATTTTATCATGACCTCCACAGCAACTTGCTACACAGCATATTTATCTCCTATATATTTTAGTCTGCTGAATACTTTCCAGCTCCGTTAGTTGCTGATCTGATGAAATGTTTACAGTGGAGCCACAGTGACAGACACAGTCTGAGATGACAGCATCCCAACTACCTGAATGCCAGGGGGAGGAAAGACAGAGGAAGACTGCACCATCTCCCGATGAAAGAAAAAAAAATTTGGAAAACTGTTAGGACTCGAATAAGAAGTGATGCATAGCAGAGTGGAGTGGCTCACACGAGCACAAACTTGGAAGAGCATAAACATGCTCTTTTCCTTCTGGACTCCTGACTGTGCTCAGTGACCTCATAGATTATTTTGATAGTTTTGTTTGTATCATAGAAGGTCTTTTCATACTGAATAATGCCTCCTCTTACAAATCATCTTGATGCGGTCTGATAACTCGTCATCAGCTATTTCCAACTCTAAATGTTGAATCACTGGATCTTGTGAGTCAATGCCATAATTTATTATATAAATCAACATTTTACCATTTGCTGAAAAGCATAAATCACATGAAGACAATGCATATTTATAGAGACCCCTCTGAATAAAGTGACTCAACAATCAGCATCGAACCTTTCCTTTTCCTCTGACAAGTTTTTTTTAAAGACCTCATTAACAAAAATACTGGTCTCCTGAGCAAATTTGTTTTCATAAGTGTGTATCAAACTTGTAGTGCATTGCATTAATAGAAATCCAAGAAGCTACACATTTCTGAAACAAGATGGTTTTGTCATATGTTAATAATTGATTCATTTATGTGAAGACAATAATCATGTTAAATTTTTCAAAATAACTGGGAATCAGGTAAAAATCAATATGCCTCCTTTACTTCTGTAAAGTTCTGCCACTGTCTAAATTTTGAAACGATCACTTCAACAATGTTCCTAGACAATCACAATGTCCCATCACGAGTGAGCTATTTTTAGAACGGACCCAGAGGCTACTGTAGTCCTTAAGGGGCCACTGGTAAAACATGGACATGCTGCAGCACAATTCTGTTGTGTAGCAATTTTAATTTACATGACATTGTCAACTTGCGTTACATTTAGTGCAAATAATAACACTTCTGATGTACAACTTACACACGTACAAAGTGTGTGGATTAGTGACACGTTATCAAAATTAAAAACAATAGCTATATTCTTCGGCGGACATGGTGCGTAGATCTTATAAATTAGTCATCCAAAATCCTTCTTAACTTCTGCCAACTAGAGGGCAATTGCCACAACAAGATTTAAAAAAAAAAAAAAATCAAATTTCATGACATTAACAAATGCAAAACAACCCAGAGTTGTTTTGAATGTTGAGGTATGATCATGATGTGAAATGCTGAACCTCCCATCCGCACCCCCAACCACACAAAAACTCACTCACTTGCCGTCACTGTTGATAAATGCACATGTGGTGGTTGTATAGTAACAATGACCAGAATCTTGCTGGTGTCTAAGGCATCCCCGGGCGTAGTTAATCATTATCAGTCACTGTGCACTGTAGTGTGCCACACGAAATGAAATAGTAGCGCTGGAATGCTAAGTTTGAGGCAAAGTGTTATACTCAATGTGCACGGAGACAAAAATAACTGATTGAGACATTTCTTAGGCTGACTAAAAGTCGCTGGGGACGCATTAAAAATCAAGAAACCTACTTAACTGTTGATTAAAGAGAGGAATCTTTACACCATGAGCCACTACGGCAACCAAACTGGCCACCAGGTGCGAGGTGGTAAGCTGCGACATAGCATCTGTTGTCAATGAGACATCTAATTCAAGCGTTTTAACAGTCAATTCACATTTGTCACTTTGGTAAACTACGTGTGTGGTTTGTCCGTACAATACGTCGTGTCCCACGGGTTGCTCTCCGGAGAAGCCATACAAATATAAAGATTTCGGAGAGAAACACGGTCAAAAAAAAGCTTCAGGCGCTCGCCCTCCATCGGACCGCGGGCTGGGTTGTCAACAGAAGGGCGGAAAGCGAAAAACACTCACTCACTCATTTACTCACTCACTCACCTCTCTTTAGCAGCAGCAAACAAGTAGCGTCGATGCTATTGGTTAGCCCCAAAAGACAACAAGTACGTAATCATAAGAAATGTACAAAACAATCTACAAAATAAACACAAACATGAATAACAATCATTTGAAAACCACTGAGGAAGAAACCTTACGTATAAAAGGACCCACGGATGTTAAGCTAGAAGGACAAATACTGATGGACTCAAGCCACACAAGCAGTCTCTCGTGTTCAAGGGGGTCCTTGGTCGTCCTGGGTGGGACACATGTCGCATGCTGTCGTCTTTTGAAGGATCTGCCTTTACCTCCTGAAGAAAGATTGAAGTCAACACAACAAAGAACAAAATTGATGAGTAAAACTGTCCAAATCTTCCCTCATATTGAAGATTTGTCAGCCATTTGAGGTTAGCGTGCTCAAGCGGGCTGTAAAAGGGAATTATACAATTGTGGGTTCAAAACGTTACGCGGCTGTGTAGGAACGACCATAGAGGATACAGTATGTAGTTGAGTTTAATGAGCAAAGGGAACGAGTGCCATAAATACAGCCATCTCGGCAGCGTGACCGCCGTGTCTCTCTGTTGTTTGTTTGGCGACCGACTTCCACCATTGCTTGCAATGGACAACAGGATAGCAAGTGAGGCCAGGGTGTGACATCCCTCGCAGATTTATATAATCAGTATTAGTCCTTGCATCCCTGCGTCTGTCTTCCCTGCTGCACTGCTGCGTGGTCAAGCTCGTCGGCGAATTGGCCTCATGTGACAACAAGACAGTCTGAGAAAGGTTCTTAGACGCTACTGTGTTAACTTGTAATCTGAGTTAGTTACTTTTAAAATCAAGTAATCAATAGTGATTGAATGACATGTTTAAAGCAAGTCATCTGTAAGCAACTAAGCTCATTTTTCAAGGTAAGTGTGGCAACACTATATTAATGCATAAGTATTATGAGGTCGGTTAAATGTTTTACTAAGCAAGCGAAACCCTTGTCCTAACTAAACAGCGGCCAGCATATGAGGAAGTATACATTGTAATGCAGTTTTGTACGTTCGCAGGGGTGTTACCTCTCAAAACAGAATGGCCTTCCCCAAAGTCTTCTCCTGGACATAGGAGGTGAAACGTTTGAGGAACTTGGGATATTCTCTCTTAGCGACGGCTCTGAGCACCGAGGCTGGCGCCCAACCACCGGGATTGACTGTGAGCAAGCAGAGAAACGTCGCCATCAGTAAACATGCACAGCATATGTATATGTATATATATATATATCTCCACCCAAAATGACAAATATATACAGGAGAGAGAAATTCTACATGCAGCGATGGGCTCTCACCATTGGCCACATAGGTGATTTTACACAGGATGTTGTCCCTGCTGATCTCTTTATCGCCCTCTGGTGGACTGACTAGAGTTTGACAGATCATGGCAACGTTGATTTTGGCTCGAACGCACCGATTGGAAGGCTGAAAAGACACACCAATATTAAACATTAAATCAGGCACTGTTAGTGTTATTCAACTAGTTTACTTGATACTTTCTATCCCCAGGGAGAGTCATTGTCTTTGCATATGGATTAAGTCAAATCAAACGGCAGCTGGGCTTTCACTTGTATCGCACTTTTCCATCTACGAGGCTCTCAAAGTGCTTCACATCAACTGCTCAATCATCTACTGATGCCGCAATATCCGGAGCAACTGGCCATTCGGTATCTTGCTCAAGGACACTTTGACAAGGTCACACGGGCTGGGCATCCAACTCACAACCTTGGGAGATGACAACACGACCACCTGAACCATGTTTGCCCAAGGTAATTATAGTCATGAAAATCAACAAAACAACTGAAATTGAAAACAGTTACGCAAGTGTTTTCAATTTCAGGTGAAAATTACATAAAAATCATTACGTACGGTTTTTATGTTTAGAAAACTAACTGAAATTAAGTACAGCAAAAATATCCTTTGTCATCATCTTTGGCAATTAATTTCATCATGAGCTTTTATGGTTTATTTTAAAAGTACAGTAGGAGGAAATTGCAACAGTCGTTTGGGAATTGTAGTTTACTTTATTCTACCATACTGTGTTACTTTTTTTTTTAACAATGAACTCAAATATTTCCATATGTATATTTAAAACCAAACTAAAACTAATGCTAAAAATAATAAAACCCAACACAACTTCTCTAAAAACTAATGAAAACTGAAATGTTAAAAAAAAGTCAAAGAGAACCAAAAACTACAATGAAAAATATCAAACTATTATATCCTTGAGTAAAATTGAAGGTGTTTAAAAAGCACTTAGAACTTTTGTTTCAAAATGTGACAAAACCTGTTCCATGCATTTATAACATCAAGACTTGCGTCATTATATTTGCTCAGCCTACCCGTTTCTTCCTAAAATTGGTTCAGTGATTAACCCTCCTGTTAGGCTGTGTGCCAAACTGAAGAAAAAAAAAAGGTAATTTGAGAATGTTTGAATTGAAATGACAGTATAATAAAAAGTCGGTAGTGGCACAAGGGCTGGAAAGGGGAGAGAAATTTCTTTCATATATTTTTTAGGTACACATTTTATACACTTTTTTTCTGGGATGTTCCAAAATTCACAGCAAAAACTGAAAAATAGTTAAATATGTTGGGTCATACTGACCATTTGTGCTTTATCAAAAGGGGAAAAAAGGACCAGGAGTATTCATTAAATTTATATTAAAAAAATAAAATAATATTAGTCTGGTAATGTAAACAATTGCACATTTCATTTGCATTTATGAGCCTTATTTTCGAATGGCCTGGCCCACCTGTCACTTTTAAAATCCAAATTTGGCTCTTGAGCCAAAAAGTTTGTTCAGGATGGTTGTTTATTAACAAATAACCTCCTTTAGATTCAACTCCTCGAGCAAAGCTTTTACACGAGTTGATGATGGGAACAGCTGCACTGGTGTACAGTACTGTCAACTTACAGCCGCATTTTCGTGGTCCACAGAGAAGTTGCACACCAACCAGGTGTCAGGATCATTTTCATTGGTTGCCAGAATCTTCCTGATGGCCGACAGGTAGAGCACGTCTCTCTGAGAGGCTGGCCACACCCTCTACGGCGCCACCACAGGCAGTCAACGTCAGAATGAGGGTGAATTGCAGAAAATATATGGCCAGCCAGGAAGTGAAATGACTCGAAAGTGGTCAGGTTTACCTTGTGTGTCTGATAAACGATGATGGCATTGTCGGAGAGTGTTTCGACCACGTTAAAGTTTTCAATGGTGGCTAAAGAAGAGACGAACAGTTGAGAATCATGCATGGGGTGACTTGAACAGAACAAATAATGTTGACTTGAACTTACTCTCCCAGTCCAAGCGCACTGCAGTGTCCCAGAAGTAGTGACACACCTCGTGTCCTGTCACCCCTTTTACAGCATGCGTCGCTTTGAGGGGATCCAACACGATCCCGTTCTCTTCCACTTCTCTTCTGTACACCTGGGAAATATTGCAACACACAGGCTAAATATCATTTACAGGATGGGGTGAAAGTACATACAGCATATTGTCACTGAGCCCAAAAATGTCCATCCATCCATTTTCTATAACGCTTACTCTCACTACGGGCGCAGGTGACTTTGGGTGATAGGCGGGGTACACCAATGACGGGGTGCTAGCCAATCAGAGTCTATATTAACGGTTTAAACATAACCATATACCACAAACGATGATCCTTCACGATATCTTAAAGAGCTTTGCTGATTTGTTTTTGTCACATAATGTTTGCTGTCCTTTGTGTGGACCCATTGTAGACTGCTGTCAGTGTTTTGGCCGTGACATTCGTCGAAAGAGAAGAATCTCTGCTTGATGGTTGTGCCTTCTCGGAAGCATCTATTTTGATGGCGGGAGTGTCGGTGCTACTTGACAGTGGCAGGGCGCTTGTGTTTTCTGTGCCTGTGATGGGCAACAATTTTCACAACCCTGTTTTGTTCAACGAAGATGTTGGCGCTGTTGGACAGACTGTGTTGGTGCGGATGGATGGCTGGTCGAGCTGAGGATGAGGCAAGAGGAGGGTTTCTGTGGAACGCGAATGTGTATTTGGCACTGAGAGTCGGCGCTTGGAAGTGAGGCGGATCTAAATGGGACAGAAGAATTGGAGCAATCTTTGTATTCATCAATGGAAGCAGTACAGCTTCTTGTTTACTTTCAAACTTCGCTTGAAGCAGACGTGTGACGTCATGTACAGCACTTTATATACAGCGGTGGTTGCTTTAAAGTGCTCTCTAAATACAGCTGAGTTGAGTCGTGTCATGCATGCTGTGATCATGACATCGCTGAACCACTTGTGAAAGGAGACTTTGATTCTCTCCCCTTACATCCACAACCACTTCAAACAAGGAGGCATAGGTAGGAATTGTTGTCACGATTGTATTATTGTTCGTGTGTTATTTTATGTGTTCTGTTGCATTATTATTTTATGTTAAAAGTTCTGTATAAGCACTTAGTTACAGCTGCAGCTGTATTCCAAAACAGTATGTTATTTTTTTGACTTGGTAGAAAACCTAAAATGGTGGTGAGCCTCTTCCTTTAGTGTTTGCTTTTGGTCCGCCCTGTATATTTTATACACACAACTGTCACAACTTTTGGTACACTACTGAGACCAAATACACAATCTGCATCAACAAACAACCTTTACAAATTATTTATTTTTAAATAAAACCCATATATCACCAAGTGCAAGTTTAGACATTGTTGTGTGCATTAGCTAGGTGGCTGTGCATGACTTCTCAGGTAAACAAACAAGAGACGACTCCCACGGAACTTCTCACCTTCATCTCTCCTTCCTCGATGACCAGCTGCCAGTTGGCATCTCCGCCCACATCCTGAAGCGAGTACGTCATATGATTCTGCACCATCTCCTCCACCTAGGAGACAAGAGAATTCATAATTGCAGCCATTTTGACTCACATTTCTTGTTAGACTGAAACCAACCGTAGTTTTTAGTAAAACAAACATAATAATAAAGAAATAAATTTTAAAAAAGAAAAAAAATGAATTTCCTGTCGAAGTAATACTGTCTGTGGGATCACAGACAATAAAATAATGTTGCCAAAGTATATACACTTAAAACAATATTTTATGCTAACACAGCTTCTTTAGTTACCGTAAAAAGTTTTATTTTTGCAGCAGTGTTCAGTAAACAGTGTAGCTGGAACCCAGTAGCTGGAATGTTATCGCAGAGGTGTCGGGAATTTGTCGAGCAAACAGAGTCGGTGGGCAGGAACCAAATATCACAATATTATGCACAAAAAAAAAAAAAAAAAGACTCAACACTTGAACCTGTTGAAGGTTCAACAATTCATCAAGTCCGCAATGAGCCGTGTTTGCCAATGCGGTCGCACACAAGTTGAGCAGTAAGAGCACAGGAACTACATTTTACTAGGTCAGACGGTCATTCTCGATTTTTCTACTGATTGAAATGAGGTCATGTTGTGAACATAGATTTATCATTCCAGGAAAGGGAGGTTAAGTAGAGAGTGATCTTTTTTTGCTTTCTGCTCATGCTCTCTTGGACTATTAAAGTGTACGTGCCCTTGCACATACAAGGACCCTCCAAATTACCTGAGTGCTGAATCTGTGAATGTCATCTGAAGCACTGACTAGCTCGAGAGAGGACAGGGAAGAGCAATGACTACGTGCCTGTGCAGCAAGGAGATATTAGAAAGAGAAAAGGAATAACAAAGAGAGTGAAGCACCAAAAGCAGAAAGCCAAGGGAATCAGTCATTAGCTGCTTGCATAGGAAAAAAAAGTTAAGATGATTTAGGCTAAATGGTGGCCACATCAAGACAAGAGCATACTGTAAGTGATGGAGGCACTTGAAGGGCATGGGACAAGATGAGGATGAGTGGGTGTCGAACCTTGGTAGCGAATCTGTGTGTGCTGATGCTTGAGTAGACGTCACCGGGAGGAACGGGAGTCAGTCGAGGGAGCCGGACCTTTTCAGACTGGCACTGAGGAGCACCGGTTTCATGAGCGACAACAATAAGACATTTTGGTTGCAAAATATTCAGATTTGAAACATCAACGTGGTGGACACAGCAAGTCAACAAGAGCGGACACACATTGGAGCAGCTTCATAATGTAAATTGGGTATGTGACTAAGACATGCACGGCTGTACATGATTACATTCTACAAATATAAATATTTTACAAAATGTGTCGAATCGAGAATCTGTGTGCTCGAGGAGCCGGGTGTCTTGTAAAGGCCACCTCAACAGTGGAGAAGGGGAATGCAGCGGGGGAAATATTCCCTTCTCTTGCCCATTAAACCTTTGTAGCTGCCCTTCAATTGCACACTAAATTTGATGTGTGTACAAAATAAACGAACGCCAGCTAAGAAAAGAAACGTGAGTACGGCATGAAGTAAGACTGGCTCAAAGGCGGGTGTCGCTCATGTGTCATCGAAAAGGGTGACGCGGACCAACAACACACCTGCTCTTCTATCTTGTCTTGTCTGTCAAGCGCAGCTTCAACCGCATCGAAGAACTCATCCTCATTGATCAAACTGTTGGGCCCCTCCTGAAATCAGCCAGTCGGCCAACAATCAGTAATGTGGCAAGTGTATAAGAAACATACACCACCAGGTGCAACAAAAGGTTTATGTAATTCCATCTCGCCTCATAGTCCGGGCCTCCATAGTGTGACTTTTTCTTCAGTTCATGCACAGCAGACTTGTAGGCATCTTCTACCCTCCTCCTTTTCTCCAGCTCCTGAAAACAGAACAAAACAAAGTGTGCGTAGAGGTGAGCGATACGTGGACAAAAAATGCAGGCCAAGAGCTTTTTCTTCAACTCATCGAAACATGATACGGCTTTTAATCCTTGCCTTGTTGAAATGAGCAAGTTTTGAGGGTGGCCCTGTCTGATACCCCTCAATAGAAAGTAGAGGTTTTGTTACCATGACAACTAGGGGCAGAGCTGGGGGGTGGCTGCACTTTGAGACCTGATTCTAGGAAAATGATTGCAAACCACAAAGTACACATGAGACCTTTTCCGTTTTGAGGACAGCACTTCATTGCCAATTGCTAAATTAGACTTAGCTTTTTGTGCAGACCTCTGTATGTGATACGTAAACAAATATGTCCACATCCTCACCGCGTTAACAATATTACAGAGTATTCAAAGTATTGAAGTACTTGGCGCTGATCACAAGCAAACGCTGCTGTCAAATGTTATTCTACGCATCCAACAAAATCAATTCAGATCAGCTTAATTTCTACCTTTGGACATGCTAGCGTTTCAGACAGTGTCGCCTGAGAACTGAACTATGGCCGTTGCGTATTGCTTTACCTATTTTGGACCTTTTCCTCGCGTAGCCAGCAAGTATGTATATGATCTTCTATTTTAATTAATCTGACCTAATTAAATAAAGTTACTTGTAAAACATAAAAAGAATCTAGGTATACCAAATTGTGGTCGATGAGTTACTGGTATATTTTCCTTATTAATGAAACCTTTAAACCTTTTTTTAAAAATATCTGAGCAATGGCACAAAATGCTTAAACGAACAGTTTAATATAAACTTCAAGGTGGTAGCTACATACTGAAGCTGTAAAGCTCTTGTTTAAATCCATGTCAGAGGCTAACAGACTTTGGGCAAACGTGTGAAAGTGACACCACGCTACAATGACCCTCAACAGACATCACAATACTGTCTGAGTTGGCGCTTTGAGAACACAGGAACCTGACAAACGAGTCAAATCATTTCTTCTGCTTTTACGCAGATAAAGCGAGCAACTAAAGAGGCTCATACATCTACTGTTACCCCAGCTGGGCCAAACAACTGTACTTAAAAAGCAGTTCACCTTTTAGACCAAAAAAATAACGCAAGCAGCTATAGCCGCCATCAAGCACTCCGCAAACCAGACTGAGCCGCCATAAAAACACAAAGTGTGTTTGTTGGAAGATGTCACCACTCGCCACAAACCAAACATGCAAGTTCTGCTGTTCACTCTTAGCTTCAGCCATGAGGCGACCTACTTTGAAGAAGAGGCTGCAGGTTTGTAAAGGTATCCAGTGTTGCGTCTGGTACTTGAGCACCTCTGACCGCCGCTGTGGTTTCCACAAATTTAACCAAGACGTCCGAGAAGTCATTTTTCCAATTCGGTTTCTCGTATGGCCGCCCTTGGCTAATTTATTCTCCTCCCTTACACCCAATGGCAGCTAAATCTCACAATTAAAACAACATTTAGATCAAATTTTAGTTTGTTTCACTTGAGCAGTCGAAGATACTCCGATCTCTTTCCCGGCTCTTGTACTCTTTAGGGTTGGGCAGCAAGCCATTGCACAGGAACTGGTTTGACAACCTGAGCACAGTCGATCAAGAGCAAAGAGCATTCCTTTACTAAAACACACACACACACACACACACACACACACACACACACACACACACACACACACACACACACACACACACACAAAAGCCAACGAATGTGTTTCTTATCGGCACACCGTTCACACTACTGGTTCGATGCTAACTGAGGGCTTATATTGCATTTGCATTTTTGGGTAAATGTGACAATTTTTTTTGAAAGTCCTACTCGCAAACCATTGACATGTTCCAGCTTCATGTCTTCAAATCATGTCAAGGCCCAAAGGTGTTACGTCAGAGTTTTATCACCTGAACACAAAGGCCAATGACAGGTGACAAGTGTTTCACACCTTTACTTAGCAACGGCTGCTGAAACGCCCATTCAGGAAATGGTGCGCCAATGCAGACTCTTACCATGTGTGCACAAAAATATTGGGACACCTTAGTTCCAGCTGCAGGAAGTGAAAATCAAGTAAAAGAGTTAGAACAGCTTCTTCTTGTTTGCCAATACTTTTTACAAGACTTTGGAGTGTGGGAAATGTTGCGAAATCAGCGGTCACTGCTGTTGGACTCAAATGAGCCAGGCACAACAATTCTGTTCTTGTTGTAATGGACCTCGCAGAAAAGGAACTTCCTCAAAGCATTACTAAAAGTAAAGAACAGCCCAACATGCTTTAATAAACTTTGCATCCATCCATTATCTGAACCACTTTATTATCCTCATGAGAATCGAAACACATTCAATTGAATTGAATGATAAAGCGTTTTGACTGTAGCCGTCTGTGCTGTGCATCAGTACCTTGTCCAGCCTTTTCTGCCAGCTGTCCTCACGTTTGACCATCAGCTCAATGCAATGTGACAAAGTGGACAGGATGCCCGCTGTGGTGGCCTTGAAGGTGATGGCCTCTCCCTTGAAGTCTATGCCATTGATGCCTTTGGGACTAGCCGGGGCGAATACTGACACAGGCAATCAAAAAGAAAATACAACAACAACAAAAGAAATAAGGAAATGTGACAGCTCCCACACAACTTGATTGGATGACATTTTATAATTAAAGTCAAACAGTCGGTTATATTGAAGGGCACTAACGTTTTTCTTTGCTTCCGTTATTGTAACAACATTCACCGTCTGGCCTTGAGGCTGCAGTGAAGTCGTCTTCGTCCTCCTCCACTATTGGGACCAACAAGGGAATTAGTACAAAATTCCAGTATTGACTTGGCAAAATGTGCAGTGTTACACAAGATTCGGAGACTGACACAACGAACTGCTCTGCATGTTGGTATTGATTTTAGTTTTCTTTTTCTTCTTGCCAGCAGCCCTTTTGTTGTCTATCCAATTGCAATATCAAGTCTAAGTGTCATTTTGGGAAACATAATGAAATTGGAACCAAGATAAACTGAAATGATCCCTGAATGCCACAGGTTACCTCTGTCCCTGTGAAACTCATCTTTGGAGACCGCATCAGCGCAGGAGTCAAAATATTTCTGCAGCGTGTCCACTTGTCTGCAAAGAATGTCCCGGAAGGTCTCCATTTCTGCTAATTTCTCACACAGCCTGTGTCCCTTCTGAACAAGACGACGCCATTTTAGGTTTCAGAGCATTGCGTAATTTCTAACCGCCTGATGGAGCATGCATGTACATACCTTGAAAGAGGATGTGGATGTGGCAGACAAGGCACTGGCTGCTGAGGTGAGAGACAACATGGAGCCATGACGCCTCAGACTAGATTCTGAGCCATACCCAGACTCCGCCTGTGGAAAGGGAGAGAAAGCAACAAGGAGGCAGGGAATGGTACAATTACAAATTGAGAAAAAAACAGTCAGACCAGTGGGGAAGGCAGAGGACGAGAGATTGGACACATGAAGCGATGTGTTTCCAAAGTCTGCAGCTTACACAAAGAAGACAGAGAGTGAGGGTGGAACAGTTTTAGCAGTCAGCAGGACTGAGCAATGCTGAGCTGGACAAGAGCAGGACCTCCACCTACACAGCCAAACACTAGAGAAACAATGGGAATGACAAATATGCACAAACCTAGCAGCACCAGTCTTGCCATGTGAAAATAATGCCTCCACTGTCCTAACAGAAGACATCTCATCTTAAGTTACCAATGAGGGAAAAAAAATGACACAACAAGGAGTCTCTCTGAATTAAAAATGTTTGAGATTCTTTAACTAAGCTGATAAGCAAAAATGTGTTAAAAAGGACAGCATATTGAAAATTGACCATTTAATTATGTTTAACCATAGTGGGCTTCTGGAGTGCCTATTTGCCCACCAAGTGGGAACTTAACAACGTCAGTCGTTTATCCGCTGTTTTCTGTCAACTCACAGTTCTGCATTTTCAGTTATCATGTAAATTAACCCTACAGATACATAATATCTGTCCCTACACCAAATTTCGCCATCAATGACATGATCAGCTCAGCACTCTTTCAAGCCACGGCCTGACTACATCGCCTACAATGCTATGCTACAGTTATAAGATAAGCAGAGCTGCACCGAGGTTTGCTGGATGCACAGATTAGCATTAGCTGAGAGTTAGCTTGTGGTTGTATTTGTGTTTGCCAACCTATACACTGCATGATAAGATAAGAAAAGAAATACCTTTATTTGTCTCACAATGGAGAAATTCGCATTGTGCCACATATGCGGATCTGCATGCTAATTTCACTAGCAGAGTGTGAATTCAGTAGATTGGTGATAAAGTGTTAACTTCATAAGAGAAAATGCAATCCGTGCTGTCTTGCTGTATTCACGTACGCTTTGCAGTTCGTATTTACTTTCAACTTGTGGTTTTACATGGGACAGAACTGACCCATCAAAAAAGGCTGATTTCAGCAAGAGAAAAATTAAGATGTATTAAGTACATGTAATTCTTGATCCTTAAGTATTACTGGCAAAAACAAGTCACTGAAATGTTATTAGGACACCTAAGAACTATCTTAAACTGTGAAAATAATACATAACGTCTCTTTTAAATCTGGAACCAGATATCCCCAACGGGATGCCAATGCCTCCATCCCACATGATGCCACTGACTGCAATATGCAAATAGAAAAGTCGTGACACATCCTGCACAAGCATGCATTGAGTGAGGAGCAATTGACACCAAGTAGAAAACACACCACAGAGTTGCCATAGTGATCCTCTTCATTATTTACACAAAAAAATAGAGCTTTCTAAGTTGTTGATGACATTTTTCACATTCTGCAGTTATGCACACAGAAAAATTGATAAATTTGACTTGTAATCTAAAATCTGATAATTACACAAAAAAATAGAGCTTTCTAAGTTGTTGACATTTTTTCACATTCTGCAGTTATGCACATAGAAAAATACAATTGATAAATTTGACTTGTAATCTAAAATCTGATAAGCGTAACGTATTGAGGTTTGTATTTGGAAGTGTTGGAATTGCTCTAAATGCATTAATCAGATGTTTAAGGGTTGAAAGCCTGCTGTTGTTTCAACTAAAACATTCAGCTTTTTTTTTTTGTTACAACCTGAAGAGTTACTTGAGATTAAAAAAAACATGCAAAGTATTGGTTATGGGAAGAATATACAAAAAAAGAAGCAACTCATACCTGCACAGTAACATTCTGAAAGCCTGCTGTTGTTTCATTCAATTAGAACATTCAGCTTTTCTTTTGTTACAACCTGAAGAGTTACTTGAGATTTAAAAAAAAAACATGCAAAGTATTGGTTTTGGGAAGAATATACAAAAAAAAGAAGCAACTCATACCTGCACAGTAACATTACCTTTGAGGGTAACGTGCCAAATTAAGGTAACCTGACACGAAAAACATTTGAAATTACACTGGGACTGAGAAAAATGCTCAGAGCTACTTCCTTAAGGGATAACAGGGACAACAACAACATAGATGCATTTCTATAGGTAAGTGGCTCCACAACAGTCAGGATGAAGACATGCAGAATAACAGCACAAAATTCATTCCTTAAGGGATAACAGGGACAACAACAACAACAAAGATGCCTTTCTATAGATAATTGGCTCCACAACAGTAAGGATGAAGACATGCAGAATAACAGCACAAAATTCAAGAGTTCTGTCAAGAGTAAAGGGGCCGCATGCCAGCATGAAATGAGCCCACCATTCGACCATTCCAGCAGCCAAAGCAGAGCAGGACACTGCTGCAGTCGTGACAGCTGGCTGGCCATTGCTTTGTTTCAGCAGAGACGGAGATGAGGCTGAAATGAAGAATTTCTCAGGAGATTAAGCAGCCCAGCTTTTTAGTCAGTTCGAATGGAGCCACACTCGCATGCACGCAGTCCACTCAGAGAAGACCACACACCCTGATGTGGGAAACCTTTTCATACTGCCCAGCTGTATGTGCAGCATCCAGTGCTGGCCCAGTGAGTGCGTGAGTGCATGAGCGCAAGCCAGGGAGGAACTCCATTTGCAAGAGGAAGATGAGAGCCGTCTGGTGCTGTTTGGGTAGTAAAACGTATCATGGGTGGGCGATGTATGCAGCCTTCTCGAGTCAGGCAGAAAGAGAGGGAGGCCGGGCAGGCAATATTTCAGAGCTTCTTCTGCTTTACTTGTTTCACTCTTTTCGTCTGTGCTTGTTCTGATTAGCTCAAATCCAACTTCAAAATGCATTCGTGATAGCCGGCATCCTGAAGCAGTGGTGGTTTAAAAATAAAAATTAATATTAACAATAATACTAAAATAAAAAAGGGTACTGTCCACCCCTTGAGGCACAATAAAATGGAACGGTCGGATGAGGAGTTTTATGTGTCCCTTTTGATTTGGATCGTTGTGAGAACAAGAGCTTAAAAATGTATTATTCAACAAGAGGAGCACAAAGTCATTCCATTTAGCAACACCTTTCACATGACCGAGACAAATTCTTGCCTAACTTTGACAAGTGAACAAACGCTTGAAAGAAAAAAAAAATTAAAAGTGAAATTATGCTGCTACGAAATGGAATGTTAAATAAGACACTAATATTTGCGGCAATTGTATTTTTAGGATGAAACAATTAGGACCGTCTATCGAAGTATGATGCAAGTCTTGTTTTGTCCAGCGAGCGGCAGTGCAGACAGGCTCACTCATCACAACCTGCAGGTAATGATTTACTGGGGTTATTGCAGGGCACAGTTCAAACACAACCCAGTAATACTCACACACTCCCACTAATGGACCAAAGACCTGCCGGCAGTCACACTCAGCTGACATACCAAAAGTCAGCAGCAATGTCAGCCACCCGCACAACCATTATTTTCTTTTTTTTTTTAAACTAACAAGTAAGTGAAGCTGACCTGAGGTGAATTCACAAAATAAACATCACTTTTACATATGGTACTTGGCTTTTTGTTTTACAGGCATTGCCTTAGGTGTGCAAAAGAGACCCCATGTGTTCTCATGTGAATAAAGATTGCAACGACTTCATTATTTAAAGAGATACCATTTTTGGCCCATGTTGAGATACAAAGTAGTGCTATATAGACATAAAATTTTCAAAATGATGGAAATTAGACTGCAATCTGTGCTCTGCATAATTTTTTTTTTGTTTAATCGACAAAACACAGCAAAGAAACAAATTCTTCCATGTCAGATGCATTTTACCACTGACAGTAGTTCTTATCACCAGGAGCTGTGATTCACAACTTACATTGCAGTGCAATTTTGTAAAGATCATTTGTGCATCTGGAATAATGTCAAGATACACAAAGATTGTTTCGAAAATGGCTTCAGTGTAAAAATATTACCTTTCTGTTGCTCACGAAGTACTGAACGTCTCAAATGTGTTCATTTTTTGCTTTTTCTCAAACCCTTGAGTGGATATATGCACGTTAAAAGACAAAAGGTATACTGTACATGGTTACTGTATTTTTAATTAGGTTTCAGGCACATAAAATGAAACTGCAATGTTATCTGAGAGTAGAGTTTCAGAAAGATCTCAGCCTGTGGGAAGGAAATTTAATTACCAATTAAAAATAACCTTTGACACACCCACAACAACAGCAACACACCACAAATTAAAAGTGATGATTCATAATGTACCTTTTAAGGGACCCAAGGACGGTTAAACTTGTCCCCGGTTAGCGATGGCAACATACTTTACAACATGGATGTTGGCAAACTAAACTGTTAGGGAGCAGCTGCCGAGCCTCCAGTGATGGGGGATACCCCCATCTCGCACACATTCGCATTGCTTACATTCCAAAGGGAAAGACAGAAACAGGGAGTGTCAATGCAAGCAAGCATCTGTCTGCCACACCCTTCTCAGTGATTAATTGGGAAAGCCAGGGCCCGGATAGATTATGAGTAATAGGAGTATGACTCATGCAGACATAGAGTACTACCATATATTCTATACATTTGTGATGCTAACATGGCTGGGAGATGACTCCTCTGCTTTCCGTCAATGCCCCTGCTGACATGCTGATGAAAAGGCTCTAAAAACGCAAGGAGGATCTGAAGCATGAATCGTTTTCGCAGGGCGTCACAATCATGATGCTTGAAATGCAGCCAATCAACGGACAACATGTTACCGTCAAGGATTTGGAAGATCAGGAAGTACAAGGAGAAAGATCACTGCACAATCAAAGCCAACAAAGATTAATCAGTCACCGCCAGGCGTTTTCAAGGTGGAATTTCCAATATTGTCATTTGTTTTTGAGAATTTTGACTGATCTATAAAGACTCGCAAAATATTTTCTTCGGTGACAATATATGCACCAAATTTGCCCAGAAAAAAAAAGAGGCTGTGTGACTCTCTTCTTTTGCCAGAAAAAAAACAAAACAAAATAAAACCTCTTTCCAGCTTTTTTCATTCTTTAGTATTGGTAATCAGGCGTAGAATATGGGTTGGTTTTTGACCAAAAAGCAGAGAAAACAGGATTTTTGTGAAAAGAAACATGCCAAGCAGAACGGTGACTTTTGACTCAAATATTTGTCTGCTTTTGTGTTCACCCCAAATTATAAAAGAACAAAAACAAGACAAAGCCTTCATTATTTAAAGAGATACCATTTTTGGCCCATGTTGAGATACAAAGTAGTGCTATATAGACATAAAATTTTCAAAATGATGGAAATTAGACTGCAATCTGTGCTCTGCATAATTTTTTTTTTGTTTAATCGACAAAACACAGCAAAGAAACAAATTCTTCCATGTCAGATGCATTTTACCACTGACAGTAGTTCTTATCACCAGGAGCTGTGATTCACAACTTACATTGCAGTGCAATTTTGTAAAGATCATTTGTGCATCTGGAATAATGTCAAGATACACAAAGATTGTTTCGAAAATGGCTTCAGTGTAAAAATATTACCTTTCTGTTGCTCACGAAGTACTGAACGTCTCAAATGTGTTCATTTTTTGCTTTTTCTCAAACCCTTGAGTGGATATATGCACGTTAAAAGACAAAAGGTATACTGTACATGGTTACTGTATTTTTAATTAGGTTTCAGGCACATAAAATGAAACTGCAATGTTATCTGAGAGTAGAGTTTCAGAAAGATCTCAGCCTGTGGGAAGGAAATTTAATTACCAATTAAAAATAACCTTTGACACACCCACAACAACAGCAACACACCACAAATTAAAAGTGATGATTCATAATGTACCTTTTAAGGGACCCAAGGACGGTTAAACTTGTCCCCGGTTAGCGATGGCAACATACTTTACAACATGGATGTTGGCAAACTAAACTGTTAGGGAGCAGCTGCCGAGCCTCCAGTGATGGGGGATACCCCCATCTCGCACACATTCGCATTGCTTACATTCCAAAGGGAAAGACAGAAACAGGGAGTGTCAATGCAAGCAAGCATCTGTCTGCCACACCCTTCTCAGTGATTAATTGGGAAAGCCAGGGCCCGGATAGATTATGAGTAATAGGAGTATGACTCATGCAGACATAGAGTACTACCATATATTCTATACATTTGTGATGCTAACATGGCTGGGAGATGACTCCTCTGCTTTCCGTCAATGCCCCTGCTGACATGCTGATGAAAAGGCTCTAAAAACGCAAGGAGGATCTGAAGCATGAATCGTTTTCGCAGGGCGTCACAATCATGATGCTTGAAATGCAGCCAATCAACGGACAACATGTTACCGTCAAGGATTTGGAAGATCAGGAAGTACAAGGAGAAAGATCACTGCACAATCAAAGCCAACAAAGATTAATCAGTCACCGCCAGGCGTTTTCAAGGTGGAATTTCCAATATTGTCATTTGTTTTTGAGAATTTTGACTGATCTATAAAGACTCGCAAAATATTTTCTTCGGTGACAATATATGCACCAAATTTGCCCAGAAAAAAAAAGAGGCTGTGTGACTCTCTTCTTTTGCCAGAAAAAAAACAAAACAAAATAAAACCTCTTTCCAGCTTTTTTCATTCTTTAGTATTGGTAATCAGGCGTAGAATATGGGTTGGTTTTTGACCAAAAAGCAGAGAAAACAGGATTTTTGTGAAAAGAAACATGCCAAGCAGAACGGTGACTTTTGACTCAAATATTTGTCTGCTTTTGTGTTCACCCCAAATTATAAAAGAACAAAAACAAGACAAAGCCTAAAGAGGGTTTCTGAAAACAAAATATTTGCAAACATAAAACTACGAGACGCGCCTACAGATCTGAGAAATATACGAAATTAATATATACGCTGGTGGCAGTCCATGGTTAGATTCCCTTTTTTTTTTTTTTTTTAATCGGGCAGTGAAAGAGTTAATATAAAAACAAAATCCATCATGTGAACATTACAATCCTTAACCAGTTAATTTATTCAGCATCTGATTTATGGTGAGTCTAACACATGAGCAAGTGGTTATATGAAGTTTAAGACAACGAAATACAGCAGCATAGATGGCTTGGGACAGAAGAAAATTGGAGAAAACGCGAGGAGGGCACCTCTACGTCCACTAACCTTGTGCAACTCAATGGACTCGATCCACTGGAGTCTGTGCTCGGGATCTTCAGCTCGGAGGTACCACACGCTGTCGTTAACACTGATGTCAAATCGACACTCGTCAAACTCATGGGGCTGCAGGGACGGACGCAAAAAAAAAAAAAGATGAGGAAAGAACCAAATATTTTGTGGCACCAAAGACCATCAATGTAAAGTGTCTGCTAATGCTGCCAGTTGAGGAATGATCACATAAAGGCCTGCTATGATGTATTCAAAGTTGTCTGTTATGACAATGGCTGCCTAGCAATGACATGTGGATTCAATTTTTTTTCCCTTTCACTGAACAATAAACAAGAATGTTAATGAGAACCTGATGTGTTATTCAGTGAACACAACTTTAAATAACAACGACAGAGAATCTTGGAGCTTGCCTTTGCTTGACCACGGGGTCATCACAACCTCACCTCCTACATTCAGCCCAAATCCTTCAACTATTTCACTCCCCCTTCCTGCAATGTGCCCCACCCCTCTCCAGACACCAAGCAGACAAGGCACCCAACTGAACACGTGAACAGACTTCCACCGTTTTGTCTGGAAATGGAATTTGACCGTTGCACTCGCCAGGCGAGAGATGCGCTCCGCGGAGGCTCCCGATGTGAAATCAGACGCAGAAGACTGGATTCTCCTCGGCTGACATGGCCGTCAGCTGACACGACCTCATGCTGTCCACGTTTAACTAGATTTGCTCAATCGGGACACGTGCCTTTTTTTTCTCTTTTTTTTTTTGCACCAACAGTCGTGCACACAAAACAGAAACCCTGAACCTGAGTATTTCTTAATCTAATCCTGCTGTAACAGGAACCCATAAATATCCATCAGCAGCAGGTCGAAATATATGATCTGTCCGCTGGCGGCGGGGCACGGTAGTAACCTCTAGTGTATCCAGCCGTGAGGCCATTTCAGGTTCTAAAGATCTAACTTGAGTTTTATCCGACACGGCCCATTAAACCCTGCTTTTATAGTGCACTTTATACATCTTTTAATCTAGCTGGGAATTCTCATTCCTCTTGAGACAACGCCACTGCACAGCTAAGCTCCACTCGTGTCTTGTGTACACTACTAGATTGCGGCATCCTTATAGTTAGTGGAGCTGGGCTTAGTCACACAGGGTCAACAAAAGTCTAAACTACACTTGATAGCAACAGACAAAAATATCCGTTAATATTTGTATTTCAAGCAAAGTACAGAAGAATCATAAAAATGTGTACATCTGTCAACATCAAAGTTACTCGGTGTATTGTAAGTCATCACTGTCTCATAATACCTCACTGTCCATATTATTATTATACTTGTAGTGGGAATGGTAAAAAAACGTTATCTACCGGTACAGTATGTTTGCTGTGTTACGTAATTCCATAAGACAGTCTGATGTCACTTTGCACCTAATGAGTGTGATAGTTTGATTTGCGCAATAAAAGCAGAGGCTTGTTGCTATATTCCTGGTGACATATGTGACAGCAACGACACGTGTTCGAGAAACGCATGGCTTACTAGACAGTGTGTGCAGGAAAAAAACAATCTTAAAAATCCTACAGCAACCTATTATGAAGCAGTAGTCAGGTCAACAAAACAACAAACATGTTCATATTGTGGGCCATTTAATTGTATTGCCCAAATCACAGTTAAGGCCAATTGTTTGGCTTCTGTACAGGGTGGTGGTATGTTCATGAAAAAAAAAAAACACCGTAAATATTTAACCAGGGTGTGGGATTGTAGCTTATCTGACAACAAAAAATGTAAGGGCATAGGGAAAGAATATGGACAGGGTGTAAAGAGTACTGCAGTCAAAGCATACATTACAATAAGGAGTATGTGATTGACTTCTTACTATCCTGCCTGTTCATCAAATCTGAACAAGTTGATCTTTACCCATAACTCCATGCTGGCGACTAGACCAAAACAATGGCATCGCCTGGAGCACTAGCCCATTGTTTTATTTATTCCATTATTCTGCTTTCGTGCTTGACCACACACTCAAGTTCCTTATTTTCCCTCTCGCATACTTACTGTGATGACAGCCTTACTGAGGCACAAAGAGCCCCTGCAGCCATATTCCCGTTCATCCTCTGACTTGTAATAGCTCAAAGTGTTGTTCTTCAACACGACCCATCGGTCCTGCCATCCGTGTATGTAATTGGTCCACTGTAATCAAACAAGCCCCGTTAATATCCTTACAGTCTGCAAGCTCGACGAACGTACATGTAAAATATAACTTATTAAAAAAAAAAAATCATCACCTTACTCAACACGCCTCCGAACTCCACAGGTTGTGAGGATTCTGGTTCCACATCTTCGTCTGAACCGGACGCTGAGCTCTTTTCGGACATTTAAAATCCAATATTGGGAAGAACTTGTCTTTTTTATAACCAGCTGAGCACTCTAGCTCAACACCAACTTAATAAAGCTTACGAAAACAGCAGAGCCCAAACAGAACCTGCTTTCTCTAAGATACAAACACAAAAACTTAGTCCACCAGTCAGCAGTATGGCGTTATTTGCCGGTTAACGTTGAAGGAAAGGAGGAAATAAAAAAACAGCACTTGTGGAGAATGGTGACAATCCAACCTCGACCACTCGCTTTGGCAAGATTTGTTTTGAAAATGACGTCGACGAGCACTGTCACAAGCTAGTTAGCGTCAACGGTTAGCTGTCAGATGTTAACTTGACTCGTAACTTGTGACTGTTCCAACGCGCGCCGCCCGCAACCGACTTGCTACCGAGAGAAAGGTCGATGAAAGCCTCCGCGTTACTGCCGTTACGTTACCTAAACTAAGAAGCTACAAATGACGATGAAAGAGGCCGCATTGCTGCTTTATTTCCCTGGTTTTGTTAGCAACAGCGGACGACTCTACTAGCTTGCGAGGGGGAGGAGCCGCAGCCACGCTTGACTGTGTACCTGAAAAAGACAAGCGGCAAGCTAGCCTGGATATGTAGCGGAAGTCTATACACAGTGTCTTTCAAAACAATGTAGTGCAATTTCCTTGCGTGAAATTCTTTGCGACGTATAGTTTTACAATAAAATATGTTTTGATATGGCTGAAATAAAGCAATGTTAAGAAAAAATATCCGAAAGCCGGAAGCACTAAAATAAATACAATAAATAAAACATAAACGTTGCTAATGTATCAACTACAGTCACTTTTTAAACGTCCTACTTTGTGAACATTACTAAAGCTACTATTTGAGACACACTTTGGTAAATTACATTTCACCAATACAGTACTCTAATTTATCCCATTGCCCATGGTAGACGCTTCGTAAAAATGCAAAATTCACGTCAACGTACCTCCTAAAAGTCCACATGAATCTGACGTTAAATGTCATCATTAGAAGCGTTCTGCACAACCGTTCAAAATTACGTTGTTTTCATACATAACATAATCTGACAAACAACCGAAATGAAGCAACTGTACTTAAGAAACCATGCATGCACTGTTTTCTTATATTAAAAAAAACGAAAATACGTAAAATGTTGAAACTCAAGTTGAAGTCGCCATTTACGATTCGAACACGAGCCAAAATTCAGTTTTTAATTAATGCATCCACGAAAACGTTAAGGTATTTCTCAGTGAAAATGATGACTATTACATTTCCACCGGAAAAGGAATAACCGTATTTCCGTTAATGTATAACGACCGCGGAAGTGCTGCAAAATACGAATTGCGCCTCTGTTATTTTCAAAATGTTGGACATTTTGACAGTTATATTGGAGGTGTATCTCCACGATTTCGATTAATTACTGATTAAAACGAATCATATACACAAATAATACTGGCTGTATAATGGTCAACTTAACTAGCTATACAACTGAAAGTTATTGTTATTGTTGGAGTAAACAAAATACTATTTCCACTTGACGGATCAGATTATCAAGATGGAAAATGGAACCGCAGCTACTAAAGGAGAGGGGTACCTCTCCAGAATGGCCCTCAATGACAACAAAGCGGGTATGGAGGGTCTTGACAGAGACAAAATCAACAAGATCATCATGGAATCATCGAAGGTAGTTTAACTCATTCAATTTGTGGTGAAGCTCTTAAAAGACCATCCACTAATATCCACAGTCAAAATTCACGGTAGAAAAGTAATGTGTAGTGAAGTGTAAATGTTTTATAATGGTGGTGTGGCTTTTTTTTGAATGAGAGTTCTGCTTTTCAAGACTGTGCCCAGTCTTGTGTAAAGCTCTCTTATCCTCAAGACAGTGATATATAGCCCTGAAAAATGTACTATTGTAAGTTGCCATGATAGATCTCGCTAATTCTGTTGACCTTCACTTGAAGGGATCCAAGTTTTATGAGAATGAGCTGAAGAAAGAGCATCAGGTGAACCAGCGCATTGAGAAAATGATGCTGCAAAAAGCACATATCACAGAACAGCAGTTAAAGACAGCCCAAGCTCAGGTAATATAATGGAAGCACTGTAAAGATTTGAACACAATACAGCTAGTTTTTAAGCAATGCCCTCCTGGTAGGTGGAGATGACGGCCTCTGAGCTGGAGAAGAGTCGTGATCTGAGCCGAGTCATTGTGCATGTGGACATGGATGCTTTCTACGCTGCAGTGGAGATGAGAGACTGTCCTGACCTCAAGGACAAGCCCATGGCTGTTGGATCCATGAGCATGCTGGTCAGTGAAAAGAATGTTATTTATGTCTTCATTTCCACTCATTGGCCACTTCGTTTGCTTTTCCTGCACATTTTTTGCATGCAGGAGTCATGATTTTTTATGTAATTATTTTTATTGCTAAATTTATTTCGCACCTGTGCTTTTTCAGTCCACATCCAACTACCATGCCAGGAAATATGGAGTTCGGGCAGCTATGCCAGGATTCATAGCCAAAAAACTTTGCCCTCATTTAGTCATTGTTCCATGCAACTTTGATAAATACAAATCAGTGAGCAATGAGGTGAGAGTGACACAAACAGCATCATGAACACATGTACCCTACCTAAACCACTGGCTCATGAGTTTTGTGTCTCTATGTTAGATCAGGGAGATATTTGCAGACTATGATCCTCAATTCCAGCCGGTGAGTCTGGATGAAGCCTATCTGGATTTTACAGAGCACCTGGAACTGAGGATAAGTTGGCCAGAGGCCTCACGGACACATCGCTACAGCTCTTGGAGCACTGACATAGGTATGACTGACTATATACTGTATATGTTATGAACAAAATATGACATCTGAAATACAAATTGTTCTTTCAATGTACAGAGCAACCTGAACACCAACAGGAATCAGAAGCGAAAGAAGGCTTCTCCCCTGTGCTGTTTGAGGACAGCCCAAGTTCCTCTCAATCCTTGTCAAATTCCCAAACTGCCGATGCAACGGGTAAAACCACCGAGGTTTTTGGTACCTCTGTTGAAGAGGCTGTGAGGGAGATGCGCTTCCGCATTGAGCAGAAGACCATGCTGACTGCCAGTGCAGGTGAAAAGAAACTAACCCTTAGGCATACAGTGGAGCCTCCAAAAACTGCTTGATGTTGAACTTTGAAGGGGCCAATGAAAAATAACATGAAATAAAACCAAATGGCATTGCTCATGGTGTACTGATCCTTTCCTCTGTCACATTATATTCACTTTCTGGTTCTATAGTCATCCGTACACATTATTAATTTGCCATCATTGGTGCCCTTGTGTGGTGGAAGCCCCCCAAAAAACTAAAAAAACAAAACAGAACACTTCTGGAGTTGCATGGTGATAATTCATTTCCTCAAATTTCAGTTATCTTTGGATGTTGGGATTTATTAGCTGTTCATTTACTAATCTGGTATTCATTTTTGTCCCTCTTCAGGTATTGCTCCAAATATGATGCTGGCCAAGGTATGCAGCGACAAGAACAAGCCTAACGGACAGTACAGACTGGCCTCCAACAGAGAGGCCGTCATGGACTTCATCCAGAACCTCCCAGTTCGCAAAGTATACTGCATTTTAGTTCAGAAAAATCACAAATGGAGTAGTGTTCATCCTTTCAAGATGCGCACGTGTAATTGTGTTGCAACTAGGTTTCGTTTCAGCGTGCTTTTTTTGTGCGCAGGTTTCAGGCATAGGGAAGGTGAGCGAAAAGATGCTGAATGCTCTCGACATCAGTAGCTGTGCTCATCTTGGTCAGCAGATGGCGTTGTTGTCATTGTTGTTTTCCGAGACAGCCTGGCGTCACTTTATGCAGGTTTCTCTGGGTCTGGGCTCCACATACATCGTGAGGTAAACTCTCATTCCATTTCCCGCCCACTGAAAGTCAACATACTGTAATAGGCTTGGAGAGGAAATGACCTGCTTTTCCTTCATGCAGGAACGAAGAAAGAAAAAGCATGAGCACAGAGAGGTATATTTTGCATGATGAGTGAGTCATTTCATCCACTTATCTCCTTGTCACTCTGTCTCCATCCTTTGTCAATATGAACAGAACATTTAAAGAACTGAACAGGCCTGATGAACAGCTATCTTTATGCAGAGAGCTTTGTGAAGACTTAGCACAAGACCTGAAGAAAGAAGATCTCAAGGTACTTCTTGTCTGACGAGCTCATTTCATCGCATTCATTGCACATGGATTTTATTTGAAGAACATCATGGTGCCAACATTGCTTGAAGTACCACAATAGAGATGGAAGATTAACTGTTTTACAGTATTAACATTAGCTTTTCTTTATTTGAACATTTTAGTGAATCCAATGGATTCTTGGGGGTGTCTACTCGTGTGTACTTCAGCATTTTAATTCTTGCTACCTATTAAATTGATAAAGGAAGAGTTGGATGTTTGGCATGGTCATCACCCCCCTGCCAGGGCCCTGATGTAGTCTTGATAGCTTCGGGAAATGGATGGCCATTAAGGAGACAGCAGGGGCCACTGTCAGTGCTTGAAAATGTCTCCTAGGGAGCGACATGTTGCTGTAAAAGTGTGCGTGTAACTCAATTCCCCATCAATTGTGTTCTAACTCTCCCAAAGGGTAAAAGCGTCACGCTAAAGCTGAAGAATGTGAACTTTGAGGTGAAAACCAGGGCAGTGACGCTACCGTGTGCCATCGCCACTGCAGATGAGATCTTTGCTTTGGCTAAAGATCTTCTTAAGACGGAAATAGAGAATGAAAGTCCACAGCCACTCAGACTGAGGCTTATGGGTAATTACACATTGCAATACAATAGCACTCTGACAGCAAAGCTCTCCGCTACGCCTTAAACATTTAAATGATTGGCTATCCAGGATTATAATAACTAAACAGGGGGAAAATTATAGTCAGAATTTTTTTCTGGATCCAAGGGAAGAAAATGTGATGAGACCCGACACAAGCCCAACAAATTACAACTTAATCCTCAAATATAAACCTCTAAACATGTAAAATTGATTTTGTTTGGGATTAGTTTGATGGAAGGGTACTACTAAATGTGCAAATTGCATTCATTGTTGATGAAGTGCCATATCACATAATAAATTAGTATTTTCAATTTACACCGCTGTCACCTTTACAATCTAGATCACATCTGGTTTGAAAATATAGCTTTTAGTCATACATACACATGTTCTTTACATACAATCTGAATCAGATGTGGATTAAATCTGATTGACAAAACAGTTTCTGGTAATGGCAACATACCAAATCTGTCGGAGCTCACACGATACACACATACAAGATGAAAAGATTAAAGGGGATAAAATTAGTTCACATTTGATTTGCTGCCTAAATGTGTGATCTGGATCATATCAGGATTAATTGTGCTTTTGAAAATCCAGTTTATAGCCATTCCTATTCAATTAATGCGTAATGCTCGTGAATTAAGCATCTGTATGTGCTGAATTCAACATTTCATGTTGTATTATTTAATACAGTGTACATCTTTTTGACCAAGTACCCAATTTCGATCAGATCTGATCAGATACATTGATGAAAACTCAAATCTCCCTGGTGGAGGTAATACATGGCATACTAATGTCAAAAAGAAGAAATCATTTAGAATTAATTGTGCACAGGGGAGTCATACATTGCTATTCACACATCCAACTCCTTCTTGTGTAGGTGTTCGTATCTCTGCCTTTGTCAGCCCGGATGATAAAAAGCCTCTGCAGAAGAGCATCGTTGGTTTCCTCCAATCGGGAAAGGCAGACGTCCGAGGCTCCACCCAGGAAGTACGTCAACAGTTTGAAGGCGATCATCTCCCCTCTTGTAGTCTCACAGCACAGACATGTCAGACTAAAGAGGAGGTTATTCGGCCGATCAAGAAAAAGGGCTTACTGGAGGACCAGCCTGTTGACAGACCTCAGTTGTCTTTCTTTCAAAGAGCCCATGCCAAGAGACTGCAGCTTCAGGTTTGTTCACAAGAGCGAGAAAATGAGCAGAGCGCATCTGTGCTTACGCTCCGAGATGAGGATGCACATAAAAGGGCGGAGACACCAAAAAAGGACACAGGGCCAAAACGTGCGGCCTCACATCTTTCAGAAACTGATGCCCTTTGCCCTTCTGAGGCTCGACCGTCTACATCAAGATCAGCATTGAATTGCCTCACCTGTCCTGTGTGTTTCAGCTATGTGAGCACAGACGATTTGAATGTTTTCAACAGCCATATAGACCAGTGTCTCAGTAAAGGTGAGTTCCATATATCGAATTCAAATGCAGATGTAAAGGAGAACCACTTAGAAATTGAAGTGCCGGGGACTGAGGCACATGAGGACCAAGTAAAAAATAATCAACAAGTAGAGCCAAACAGACCGGACCAACACCACTTGACAAACGATTGTGTTCACAACACCACGTTAATCAACGGTGACAGCGGAACAGTGACCTCACACCGGCCTCGGTCGGATCATGACAAAGGTCCTGTTCTCGTCTGCCCGGTGTGTCACCTGACCCAGGAGACAAATGACCTCGCTATTTTCAATTGCCACGTTGACCTCTGCCTGAACCAGGAAGTGCTGCATGAGATGGGGACCTCGCCCTCAGTTGAAATTGCAAAGCGCAATGTAATAGGTGAGTTCTTGTTCATTCGAATTCAGTAAAAATGATGATGGAATCTTCAAAGTCAAACGCAAGGTTTTCAGTGGCACCAATTGGTGTTTTCCAAGTAGTGTTGCCTCGGTCGTGTCACAATAAAGGTCCCGTCATTTACATATTAAACTGGGCAGCCTGACATTCCGATGTCACATTAAGTTCAATTTGGTTCTGTGGTTACCATCACACTTTGCCATCACTAGTCCCCTATAGAAAAAGTACCGTTACTTTATTAGAATACCAACCGAGTTGTTGTCTCACAGGATTTGCCGAGACAGCTCATGTGACATCACTCATGATGTTCCTCGTCACGTTTTAGTTGAAATCCAAATCATACGACTTTGGGTGTTTGAATCTTGCCCTGTATTTATTTTATTGTGTTCTCATGGATAAAATGTGCAAACATATCGCGTATACATCCTGTTGATGCAGGAACTGCGGACATCACTTTGTAAGGGAGCTGTGGCCTATGACCTTCTTACTTATAGCAAGCCACACTTATGTGAGGCTCTTGTATTGATTCCCACAGAGAAAAGACATCTTATTTCACCTTGTGGGGATTCTTTTTGCCCCAGCCTTGGAATTGTCCAAATCGCTTTCTCACCTTTCTCTTTTTTTTTCTTCAAAGAACCAAGTCTGAGCACCACAATTTCCTCTTAAACAATACTATCTCACAAATTGAATGCTTTATATTTCTAACGAGTTGCTGCAAGTATGGCAGGGCTTGTGTCATTTTGAAAAGTGTTTTTTTTTTTTTTTTGTTTTGTTTTGTTTTTTTTCCCCCTAAGAGGAGAAAATAAAATTTTGAGTGGCTGTGTTCACAGATAGAAGCATCCCCCCTCCAAGGCAAGCAGGTAGTGGCAAAAGCAAAAGGTAAGACAGCGTGTTGTGGATGATGTTATCATCCATTAAAACAAAAAAAACAAAGTGGCACAAAAAGTAAGGATAATTTGTGTTTGACATACCATTTCTTCATTGCTTCTTGACAATAATCTTAGACCATTGGAAAACATGTGTAATCTCCTTTTAAGAGGTCCCACATTTGTAAGGAACATGCATCACACAAATGTCCTTACTTGTTCTGCCGTTCATCAAATGTATGTACGATATATGTTTGTGCTTGCCCATCACCTACAGACGCGACTCACCTTCATATCTGCCCTCGAAAAAGGCCAGAGGTCAGAGCCCTCACAACACCATTGACAAGTTCTTCAGGTGATCGCACATCATGCGCAGGAAGTTGGAAAAGTGGGAAAAAAAGATTGCACTTCAATCTAAATTGAGATGAAATTCTTGATGAAGGAAACTATTTTTGTTGACCCCTCTTATAGTCACAAAATGAATCAAGACAAGAAAAAATTGTTGCAATTTAAATACTGGGAATATTTAATAATCATGTCGTTTTATTCTACACAGGTGAAAACCTTTTAACATGCTAAAGTGATCATATATCGATATTGTAATATTTATTACTTTTGTTTTCAAAATGTCCTATGTAATGTAAAACAATAAATTAATGGTTTCATTCTATAAATGCGGTTGCAATAACTCGTGCTTCATTTCATGTTAATATCCATGATTTGTAAAATTGGATTGTATTTTTTTGTTTGTTTTTTTAAATGCTAGTTTGTGTTTTGGATGAGAAATAATGTGAGCAACACTGTGTAGCCAGACCAGAGTCGACCTTCGGGCCCCATAAGCAGAATATTTTGTGTGCCCTGCTTCATGGTGGATAGACAGTGAAGTACTGTAGGTAGACTCATCCATGTAATTTGTAGCTCTGTCTGCATAATGGGCTGCGCTTCTCTATCTCCAGAACAGATACAAATGTTTTCTTGTAGAGCACAAAGAGATTATGGTTAATCTTTTATAAACAGCATTTGTTTAAATATGTGTACATTAAGAAAAAAAATTGAACTGTGCATGTAATACAAATCTACATCCCCCACAATGTGAAATATAAGGTCAAATTGGATGTGTTCAATAAACTTGTTACTATGTGTTAATATCGAAGGGTGTGAGTTTGCTCAGCAAACATGGATCAGCCCTCCAGTGTTGAACACGAAGTCTTAGGTTGATCTGCATATTGGGTGTGACCCGGTTCTTCAGGTATTTGTTTGGTTACTGATCCTGGGAGACACAAAAGTGGAATCCTTCACTGCCTACCTTATAATATCAGGTGGTTGCAACAATGGAGAAGAAAGCTTTGGCTCTGAAGGAAATGATGAAGACACATGTTCCCAAGAGGAAGAATTTGGACCCTCGAAAGTGGATGACACAGGTACCAGTTAAGGCATTTGCTGATTTAGCTCTGAACAAGCAACCAGAAGACAAGATGGACAACAGCTTTGACAACAAAGAGATGTGTGAGTACACAAGAAATGCTAACAGTGGGATAAGTGCGCAGAGAGGGACCAATTTTAGCTAAAGCTTGAAACCTTATACATTACCGTATTTTCCACACTATAAGGTACACCGAAAAATATTCACTTTTCTCAAAAGCCGACAGTGCGCCTTATAATCCGACGCGCCTTACATATGGATCAATATTCTGATAACTTGGACATAGTATTTTAAATGTTGTGTAAAGCGCTTTGTTACAGCGGCAGCTCTTGTGAAAGCTCTATTTAAATAAAGTTGTATTGTATTCCCTTTAGCCTAGCTCCATCTAGTGGATACAGAATGTAACCGCAGCCACCTTTGTAGATTCTATTCTCTGCGCCTTATATTGCGGTAAAACAGTTTTAAAATAGGTCATTCATTGAAGGTACGCCTGATACTCCGAAGCACCTTATCATGCGGAAAATACGGTAATTGTACTAATAGGGGTTGTAGACCCTAATCCAAAGTGCCACTGCATTTGTTTAACCTATTACTTGTGCGTTGTGCAGTACTGCAAACAGAGAAGCTGTTTATTGAAGCAGCTAAAAGCAATGATGTAGCTGCAATGAAGACACTTGGAAAGGGGTTAAATCCCAATGCAAAGAATGTGGTGAGCCCATCACACAATAGTTTAAATAATATCACGTAGAATCCCCAATTCCATTGTAATTTTGCTCACGTGCCATCCAGCACAATAGGACTGCCCTTCACTATGCAGTCGCTGGCAAAAACAAGGAAGCGGTGGAGCTACTTCTACGGCGCAGGGTGGAAGTGGATCAGAGAGACAAGGTGAGGTGACGATGCGAAGAGGAAAAAAAGAGATCTCAGAGTGCACAAATGCAATTGTTTCATTTGAACCCAATGTCTGTGTGTGGCAGTTTGGTGTGGCACCCATTCATTTAGCTGCCTGGTTTGGCAGCTTGGAGATCCTGAAATTATTAGTACGGGCTGGAGCAGAACAGAAGATTGAGAATGAGGTGATCAGAAAAAGAAGATTTTATCCATATCCAACATTTAGACCAATTCTTGTTTCCAAAGACAGCACCCTCTATGTGTTTTATTAAGATTTTAATGGCCCCTGTCATGACAGAGATCAACTTTCTAAATATGCCTTTTGATTTCCATCTGTAGGAAGGACTTAACATCATGCACTGTGCTGCTATCAACAATCATACTGACATTGTGGAATACATTGTCAATGACCTGCAAATGAAAGAACTGGACAAAGATGATCAGGTATTCCGTGCGATATAAATTATAGCTTTTTATTAGTGTCATTAATCCAAATTAAGGGCAATTTCAACATTTTTGGACAGTTTCAAAAATGTTGTTTAGTATCCAGTCCAAAAGCGCAAAACACGTAACACAAACAGTGGAGGTCGCTGATGGTGTAGTGGTACTGCCAGAAGACTGACTTGTGCACAGGCAGCATGGGATCAGTACCCACTCAATGACCATGTGGATGTGGAAGTGGGTGTGAATGGTTGTTTGTCACTACATGTGACTGACTGGCGACCAGTTCAGGGTGAAGTATTGTCAACGATTTATGGCGATATGGATGACTGGTTTATTATTTTTGTTGACAAAAATATATATTGGAGGCGGGGGTTGGTGATTCTTCTGCCATCCTCCGCGTGTTCGTTTGGATCCGGGCTGAGTCAATGCATAAAATCAGAGGCTGGAAATGGAGAAGTTGTTTCTAGAAGATTCTATCATCAGAACGTTCCGAGCACAAGTGCGATACAGAAAATGGCTGCGATCAGAGCACAAATGCGCAAATACAATGTCTCAAGACAAGTCTTATATACTCTAAGCAGGGCATAGTCTTCAACCGTTACTTTCAAGTTTTGTTTACAGACAACTGATGAAACAATCCAAGTTTCGTTTACAAACAACTGATGAAACAATCCGGCTCTAGATGGTTTGAACAGGGCTTGGGTATGAAACCATCGCAAAGAGGATGTACACACACTTTGATTCGCTCCTCTTTCATCTATAACTGCTTCAAACAACAAAGTGTATGCAGAAAAGTGGTTAAGATCTGTCTTATGTGTTGTGTTGTATTATTTGACATTTTGATGGTAGTGCGGGGCACCCGCAGCGGCTCCACTCTCTCTCCTGAGGAAAGAAATTTCATCTGTGCTGTATGTTGCACATGTAGCACATTTGACAATAAAGTTGACACGAAAATGAACAAAGTCTTGTCGCTAAGGCAGTTCATAGCGAGGTCACATCTCAAGTCAGAACATGTCTATATATTATGTTGTCAAGCTGATAATGCACATAGCTCAGTATACTAAACATCCAAATTGGTAAACGCAGATGTGTCATCATTTTGTCATGTAAAATGAAGTGCACGCAACTAATTGTGTCTCAATCGTTGCCTTTCAGTCAGGCCATTGTACATTTGCCATGGCGGCAGAACATGGCTGCGTGCAAATGTTACAGATGCTAATGGAGCCGGATTACAACATGGCCACCATGAAGCCCAACAAGGTTGGTTTTGTCTGTGTGCGTGTGTGTGTGTGTGTGTGTGTGTGTGCGCGTGTGTGTGTGTGTGTGTGTGTGTGTGTGTGTGTGTGTGTGTGTGTGTGTGTGCCTTGTTTGTTTGTTTGTGTGTGTGCGCGAGCGTGCGTGCGATTGATGCTTTCATGTCTGAGTGGATCATTGCTGCACCACAGCTCAAAGTCAAAGCCACTTTGATGCAATCGCCTCTCCTCCCTCCCTCCCACCAGAGAGGAGACACGCCCCTGCACTTAGCTGCCAGGAACGGCCACTTGGATGTTGTCCAACTACTGCTGCACAGCTTTGATACCCGGGATGAAATTAATATGGTACACAATCATACGAAACACCTTCTCTATCCGAGTGTGCTTTGTAACTTTGTGGGCTCAGTGGATAATACATTTGAGGTTGGTGGATTATTGAAGGAAAGTCCATTGACTCATCTGTGCTGTCATTTTGATTTGACTTTTTATTACTTTTACAATTTTGAGTCAAAATTGGGAAAATGCAGTATTGTGGCAGTTAATGCTACTTTGTAATATAGCAAGCATTAAAGATAAAAGAACAGTCAGCCGTTCGGATGGAACTTGACAGGACGATGGTATTGGATTATGGTTTGACTGAGATCCTTTTGTGGGTATTATGTATTGGTGCTAAACCAACCTATGTTTGTACAATATGAAGCATGTTGCAGGTTGCAGCATCAAAGTTCTGTGTCTGAAACCTTAGTTGCGTAGAGGGGCTTCTGAACGCATCCAAATCATCAGCCCATTTGCAACTTTCAGCATGGCAATGATAATAAAAATATCCACATCATTTCCAGAAAAAATAAAATAAAATATGCACTTCAGCCTCAGCCCGTCATTGTTGTTGTACGTTCTTTGTGTGTCAGGACGGTGAGACCGCTCTGTACCAGGCTGCCAAGAACGCTCAGGAACAGTGCGTCCTGGCTTTGCTGGAAGCTGGCTGCAACCCCGACATCCAAACAGCAGTACAGCCACACACTCAAAACACTCAAATCACTGCGCGGGTGGCATGTTTTTAATGACGCCGTATAGTAAGGGAGAGGTTAACGTTTTGTGCTACATATCATTTTGTGCAAACTCAAAATGCTTAAAAAAAAAAAAAATCCTCTGTTGTAGACCAAATGCAGCGCCCTTCATCCAGTTTCAGAGCGAGGAGACACGTCTCTTGTCCAACTTCTCCTAGAATATAAAGCCCACACAGATTTTGAGAATGAGGTGAGTAAACGGATTACGCCTTCTCGCTTCTTCGCAAGCGAATGCCATTATCAACCGATAAGTCATACATGCCCAAGGACTTGGAGGTTCCTCTTCACCTGGCAGTGAAGAACAGCCACCTCCCTGTCATCCATTTTCTATTGGAGGCAGGATGCAACTTTAATGTCACAGATAAGGTAAAATGCAATGACTGACATACAGTTATTTAAAAAAAAAAAATGCTTACAAGAACATTCTTTGTGCACTGTCTTGTGTTAAGAGGTCTCAGACGGTCATGCATCTTGCTGCTGAACTGGCAAGAATAGATGTGGTGGAAATGCTACTGAAGGCTGACGTTGATTTGACACTCGAAGACCGGGTAAGAGTTGAAATAAAATAATAATATGGGGACTTAGGACATACACCTTCGTGGCCTCCACCTTAAGACTCTTTCCCAAAGATGCGTGGAAACGGCTCATGTATGACATTTCCTCACACACATGGCGAGACAATTTGATCTCCGCGTCGACACCCTTTGCGGACCAAAACAGGAGCCCCTATGAGAGAATGTAAACAGTCTCTCATATGAATCAAAATGTCTGACTGTCACTGTTATCGACACAATATTTATTGAATTGAATACAACTTTATTGTCAAATGTGCTGTACAGCACAGATGAAATTTAAAAGACAATGTCACCATATGTGAAGACAGACAATGCTTTTCAAGATCAATATTTTTCATTTAGTTTGAATCCTTTCAGGGACAGTGGTAACTATAGTGGACAGATTATCACCTCATCAGGTTACAGGGTTCATGAAAAGGTTAAAGTCATATCTCTCAACACATTGCATTACAATTTTTGTTTTCACTAAGCATCCGTAAGTACGCCAACAAATTCTTTTACAAGAGTGTAATATTTATAATGAGCTCATACAAATAAAAGATATCGTCCCTGTAATTGTCTGGCACTCAAATCAGTTGAGGAAATAAACACTCACTGTACAGTTCATGAGGAAATGTGGTACGATAGTAAAAATCTTCAGAGTGGAAGCCTATGGCAACAAATGAGGAGCATCACATCTGGTAGTAGTCTTTCCCAAATTTTATTGTGACGAGGCACTCATTCTACCAAAAAAAAAAACAAACCCAAAAAAAACTTTCGCCATCTAATGGCTGATCATTTTGTTGTTCTGCCTGTTTCTGTATTTCACTGGCATAGATGAACAAAGATATATTTGTAATTATTCATCATTTTCTGAAAAATTTGATAACCCGCAGTCTCCCGAATGATGTCTCACGGCACAGTTGTGCACCCTGTTTGGGAATTGCTGTCTTATAGTTTCATGGTCAGCCACCCAATATTAAAAAAATAATAATAAAATACAAATTAGCTTTAAGTCGGTGTTCGTTCTGACACCTTCTGATTTTTATTAGTTGGGGAAAATCCTCCAAGGTGGTGAAGTAATTCATGTTTGGATGCATATAATTATTTGATGCTCATGTTGGAGCAGCAGGGAAAGACGGCACTTGGCGTGGCGGCCAGAGCGGACGAGGTGATCATTGTGGACATGATCATCAAGGCAGAAAGATACAAAGCGTGGAAGAAAGTAAGAAGCTTTTACGATTTCAATGCATGCCGCATTTTATTTGTTTCTGATAATTACCGGTACATTGCAGGTGAATTGTACTTCTGAATCGAAAACTTGTTTCATTTAATGGAGATGTCATGATTGATTTTCGATATGCTCAAATGTGACATTCATATTGCAAATGTTGAGTGACGACTACGCTTTTTCGTGTCTTCCAAAACTGGTGGTATTTAATCAACCCACTGACAGGATTTAATAACCCCTCCAGGCCAACCCAGAGTGTAATGAGAGTGTTCATAGCGAGTATCCGCTAACATTCAAACTGGACCACCGCAATGAGACCAAGCAGCTCCGCTCGATGACCTGGCGCCTGGCCTGCGAGCTCCTGAAGCCAAGAGACTGGAAACGTCTGGCTGAATACTGGGGATTCACCGAGGAACAAGTGATGGCCATCGAAAGGCAGTGGACGGGTAGCCCTGATTTTATTCTGGCCAATTCAATTCAGTGATAAAATACAGATGCCCTCGCGATTCCAGTTGGAAATTGGACCATTTTTTTTCTGGAGGGGGGAAAAAAAAATCTGCATTTGACCAATTGTGACACATGATGCTGCACAAGACAGTGTACTGCACTCGACCAAAGTTGAGCAAATATAAATGTAATGTAAATTCTGACATTCAAAGCAGTAAACAATGTGTCCGTTATGGTTTTAGAAACAGTTTGACCTCAAAATGGATTAGATAGATTTCCATTATTGGAAAGCACATTGGGAAAGGACAAATTGGAAGTCAAGCCAGTACACTGGAAATGACTGCGTTCTACCTTACATTTGATAGCGTGGCTTCAACCTAAAATAAACGTTGCTGAGTCAATAGATTACTAAACTGTAACAAGCAAAGTATATTTTGTACATATATGCTATTACATTTGTCATTGGCTTGTGTGTTTTTTGTTTTTGTGGAGAGGGGCATAGAATACTATTTGTGCTTGTTCACAGGTCAGCACAGCTATAAAGAACACGGCAACAGGATGCTGCTGATCTGGCTCCACGGAGAGGAATTGGCAGGCACAAATCCTTTGATCGAACTCCATCAAGCCCTTGTCCACACAGGACATGGCAGAGCCGCAGGTATTTTATTTTGAAATATTTTGAATGGATTTACAGCGAAAAGTCTAAAATATGTACAAATGTGTCAGTGATTTCTTTTTTCATTGTTTTACCCGTCTTATAGAAAAGATCCGGATGGAGTCAGAGAATGTCAACAGTAGGAGCTGCCAAGTATCATGATTGAGGGGTTTGACACGCAAAATTGTTTAATTGCCGTAACATCACTTTCAAGACACACTTGTACAAAAAAGTAGCGCTAAAATAATTTATTATGTAAAAAGAAAGCACCAGGTCATATACAAACAAGAGGGCTTTGGTTTGATGTTCAATGACACACTGAAAAGTACAGTATGTCTTTATACATGCACCTGTTCCTGAATATTCAAGTAAACATTAAGTTCAATAAAATTCCATTTTGAAAACTGCACCTTTAAAATATCTTACATGTGTAGATCCAACCACAAACATCAGTGAGGTTCCGAGGAATAATTGATCAATTTCCCTTTGCCCCTAAATAAAAACTTGTAAAGCTACGTCCACAGTAAGAATCACAGTTGTTGCATAGTAGGTAAAACTTCTTCTAGTCAATGATCGTTTGTGTGAGGGGTGGCTGAGGGGTGTGTGGGTGTAACTAGTCGACTACTTTGATAGATTGTACATTACAAGTGTTTGTTCTGGAGGAAGTCTTCACAACAGTGGGTGTGCGGGGACCCTGTTGGGAGGCGCGAACAGATTTGGTAGCAAAAGGATGACCGATAGTGTGCTGGGAGAAGAGAAAGGGGGGCGGGGGGGGACATTAGACTCCAACACGAATGGAGAAATGCTTCATATTGTTATGCTTCCATACCTGTGCAATTGGTTGGTGGCGTTCTACGACAATGGAGGTCATGGGCGGAGTCATACCCATCACCTGGAGTTTGCTGCGTACACTCTTACCAGCAAATGGTTGGGTCGTGATGCGAGCCGTGATAGTTTTCGACGGTTTCTGTTGGCCAGCTGTGACCGTACGCCCAGAGACCTAAAAAGACAATTTGCATTTAGTGAGGGCGTTACTGCGGCAGGCGGCAGTTCAAGTCATTATTTTCAACTGACACAGTTGTTACTGCGGCAGTTCAAGTCATTATTTTCAACTGACACAGTCAAATTGGGCAAAAGAGAAGGTGGTAAAGAATGCGGTTAAAATCATAATTCAAACCATCCTGTTTTTTCAGTTGTGACCTTGGTTAAATAATAGGTCAGGATTTGTTTTCTACAAAAAAAAACAAAAAAAAAACCCTCTCCTACCACCTGGTGAAAAGGCACACCTGTTTGTGGAAACCAGTGCTGCCCCCTTGTGGGACTGAACTGTGAGCTGCTGAAGTGGCAGGGAGGACTTCACCGGTGTACCACACGCCCATCTGAGGAAAAGGAATGCAAGGTGATGTTATGAGGTTACAGAAAAGACAAATAAATACCACACTTCTGCCATACCCTGCTGTCGTCTTCATGGGGGTCAGGAGACTCTGGGTGGTCAAAGTGAACCGGGCTACCAACAGGACCTTGAGCCAATGTTGCCGAGCCAGGCTCATCCCAAGGTGGTGGGGAGTCTGCAGAGAGTAAAATATTGACTGAAAACCCAAAACGTCCCTACTTCCATGTCCTCCTGAATAAATACATTTCTTCCAATCGTTGTATTTTGCATGACATTCGATGTAATACACTTATTCAAACATGTAAACTGTTATTTTGAGTGAGAAAATATGACAAGATTTAGAATATTCTAATCTTCTTTCTACCCACAATCTTGCTGCTGTAGACTGTAAATTTCCCCAGTTTGGGACAAATAAAGGATATCTTATATAAAATACATTTGCCAAGCATCATTGTCTCCCAATAAATTATACCTAATACTTGCTGAGGCTGAAGCCCCCGGCCCCTACTGTATTTAAGGAAATACAGCATGAGATTAGCAAACTGGCTTATAATGCCATCAAGAGCACTTCGGATACTAAGAAAACTGCAAACTCAAAGGGTTTGTTTTCAATAAGAAACTCAAGTGTCCGGTGAGAAATGAGTCTTCAATATCACACTCAAACTTGAGGTGGGAGTTTGCAATTGTCATTAGTCAACTATTTCAACATAGTGTACTTTACAGGTGCTGGTGTGCATTCTGGACAAAGCCCAGCCTCCAGTGGCGCAGGGAGCCTGTTGAGAGGAGCGAGGAAATTTGGAGGCGGTTGCCTGACCAAGAGTTTGCTTGTAGGAAAGAAACAGAGCAAAGAAAATTAGACTCTACACACACCGGAAAGATTGTTCACTTTTGTGAAAGAAAAACTGAGAAAAGAAAATAATTGAAAATAAACTAATACAAATTAGACATTGCGCTTTTGATTTGTGGTCCAACAGAATGACAGGTAAAATAATTCTTAGAAACTTTTAAGACTTCAAAAAGAACTCAACAGTTGTGTTGAGACAGTTATGTCAGTGATCGCTGCGGGTTTGTTTCATTGAACAGAAGGGTACCAACAAAAAAGAACTGCTGTTTTCACTTTCTAAAATTACCTGTGTCATAGGATGATGGTAGTCGACAGCAGTGGAGCTCATAGGTGCAGCCACACTCACAGAGTCTAGATTGCTGCGTACACTCTTGCCAACATGCTGCGTGGAGCTGCGAGCTGTCAAACTTTTGGTAGGTTTTTGTTGGCTGGCGATCACCACACCCCCACTGGCCTGTTAAAACAATGGAAGCATTTAGATGGAGCAGGAATGCAATAAGCCTTTCTTTGAGACAAATGTACTTGATGTTACAATGTTGAATTTAATTTTATTACTATTTTTGTTGTCAAATTGGGTTTCGGAAGAGTAACTGAGAAACAATGTGACTGTGTTACCCACCTGTTTGTGGAAGCCAGGACCTGCCCCGTGTGGGAATAAGCTGTGCCCGGGTGCAGCGTGCCCAGGTGCAGCGTACCCGGATGCAGCGTGCCCGGGTGCAGAGTACCCGGATCCAGCATGCCCGGATGCAGCGTGCCCGGGTGCAGAGTACCCGGATCCAGCCTGCCCGGATGCAGCGTGCCCCGGTGCAGTGTGCCCGGGTGCAGAGTGCCCCGGTGCAGCGTGCCCCGGTGCGGCGTGCACGGGCGTGGCGTATCCGGGTGCGGCGTGCCCGGGTGCGGAGTGGCCAGCTGAAGCATGCCGGGGTGCAGGGTGCCTACCTGCAGCAACCTTGGCTGCAGCGGTGCAGAGTACCCGGATCCAGCCTGCCCGGATGCAGCGTGCCCCGGTGCAGTGTGCCCGGGTGCAGAGTGCCCCGGTGCAGCGTGCCCCGGTGCAGCGTGCCCCGGTGCGGCGTGCACGGGCGTGGCGTATCCGGGTGCGGCGTGCCCGGGTGCGGAGTGGCCAGCTGAAGCATGCCGGGGGGCAGGGAGCCTACCTGCAGCCACCTAGGCTGCAGGTGGAAGGGCAGGGGGGATGTGA